CCCCTTTTTTGCCGTTTCTCCCTTTTTTTCCTCTTTTCTTTCCTCATTTTGACTCTTCAGCTAGACGCTCTGCGCAAGGTAGCCGCGCTGCAAGTGGTTTAAGCCACAGATAATGCAAAAGTGAAGGGAGACGACGTGCAGAAGTTGAGGGCTGAATGCTTGTTTCTTTCCTATTTGTAGGAAAGCAAGCATTGGAGCTGCAGAGATTTATGAAGTTTAATTCTAGCAGTACCGGTGGGCTTAGATTTACATGCTCTAACAGAGCATGCTGAGAATGACTGATTTGCTTGTACTTCTAATGCTTGTATTGATGAAAATCAGGCTTTCTCTGGTATCCCTCAGGAGTGAGATGAATTTACTGTTGATTTTGTAACTTCTGCATCATACTCTAATGACTACAATTGGATTTCTTAACATTGTCCTGCTCTCCTGTCTTCCGTATTATGCTCAGGACTTCAGAGTCCATTAGTGCAGAGCGTATTTGATGTATATTTTAATTTACCTTCATTTAACAGCCCAATTTTCCTCTTGAAGTGATGATGTAAAATTCTGCTTCGAAATTAAAAGGTTATACAGATAAATCTTACTAGAAACCAAAGAAATTTAGTAAATGCAAATTGTAACTTTGTATTTGAATTGGTAATTCTGGAGTGGCATACTGTGAAAATGATTATCAGTTTAGACAACACCAAGGATTAACACCAGAGGAGGAGTGAGGGGAGGCAGTTCCATTCAGGTTTTTTCACTGCTGTCTTTTTAAAATCCAGTCTCTTTCTCTGAACACAGGTATTGTCATTACTTGATTTCAAAAGCCCGCTGATGAGACTTTATCCACTATCTCATTAGAAAAGAGAATGGCTAAGTGGATGTCCCAATAAGTCTATTTCCAGTGTGTAAACTTCTTAATCTTTCAGTGTCACTTAGAGCAGTGCTGCCTCAGCTTAACAGGACAGTAAATGTCATACGAATTTATAGAAGCACAAGTGTGCAGTCTTTGCGGTGAAGTTCCCTGACTGGTATGGTGTATGGTGGCCTGTGCGAATACACAGAATTCATAATCTAAATATTTTTCCTTGCTTTGCTTACCCCAGTAGCTAAGCCAGCTTCTCGGAAGCCCTCCTCCAACAAAGTGCTGAGCTTGTGTTTAAGTAAAAATATCTATTTTCGTACTTTGATGTGTGGGATGCGTTCAGGCATGTGCTAAACATGTACTGCTCAGATCTTCTGCTCAATAATACAGCGAAAGAAAAGAGCTGAGAAGCTAGGACCTGCCTGGGCACTTTCTCAGTCAGTGTGGCTTTGGGTGCACTCTCTTCTACCACTGTCGATGCTTCAAGGTGCAGCTTAGCCTTGCAATATAAAACAGACACTTGACTGCAATGAGTTGTGTTAACAACTGAAACTCTTTGCATAATAGATGATATTTTTGCAGTTTACTCCTATTCCTTATTTCTAGCCCTCAAAACGGAGACAGTCCCGTGCTCTGTATTTGTACACCACCTTGCTCAGCCGGGATTGTCAGTTAGGGCACCGACATACTACTGTTCTTTAGGTAGTATGTGTGTACTGCAATTTAAAATTCCTAGTCATCTCCCTGAAGCGCAGCAGACAAAAATCATTCATTATTGTATCGTTATGCTAAAAGAATATCCTTCTGCCAGCCCTCAGCACAGATGAAGAGATAGCGTTTGGAGCTGCTAGCCCCGGTATTTCTTTTCTTAAATATATTTGATGAAACAGCTTAGGAAGAGACCTAAGCCACCTTTTCACCAAACTAACACATCTTAGAAGTGACTATGACAGAAATCCTTAAGGAACAGTTTATTTTGAAGACACAAAAATGCACGTGATGAAAGGCAGGGTGCTGCTTTAATGAGCAAGAACAGAGCAAAGGTCTCCTCTGGTTTTATTCGTCTTCCATGCTCATACAAGTCTGCTGTTGCCAGACTCTTTTTCACCCAGTATCTGCAGAAGAAATGAAAGCAAAGCACACAGATTGCTGAGTGCTCAGAGACTAATTGTTGTTACTAGTAAAGCATTTGAATGATTACAAAAAGAGGGCGTCACAAAGGACCCAGGTGCCACCACAGACAAGCTTGCTGCACAGCCGGGCAGGGAAGGACAGTTATGTAACCCAGATCCCAGATTTTCATGCAGGTCCTACGTAGTTCCCAGAGGGCACATGCTGTTTGTGCCCAGTCGCTTCCAGGTGCCATCAGCATCTACTGATGCAAATGCACTTTGAGTGCTGCGATCTCCTAAATCAGGGCCATCCTTGTAATCTGCTGTGGAACAGACACGGTTCAGAGGTGAGGGAGGTTTTTGTGAGCAAGGGGTTCGGCTTTATCAATGATCATTTGCTTGCGGTGGCTGCATGTGGGTTGCAGGACCTGAAAAGGCGTTATAATTTGCAAACCTCCTGGTAGGATTGCACTTTAGTACAGCAGAAGTCCACGCTGTTGCAGAAAAGCTGTCCGACACTTCGGCTCCCCTGTGCCTGTTTTGTGCAAGCCTTTGCTTTCATGGGACCATTGAAGTGGGTCAGATTAGGTAACTGATCCAGCTGAAAAATAACACAGAAAATTAAAAAAAAATGTTTCTTTTCATCCACACAGATACTTTTGCCAATAGAGGGGAGAAAACAGGAATGGGTGGCTAAAGGACAGGCAGACCAATGTGGATATATGCTGGACGTAACTAGTTTTAGATGGTTCGGTCATGAATTTGTGCTTTGGAACCCCTCTTAGGATGTCTATAATTTACTTTCTATTTTCCTTTTTTTAAAACGGTTCTTGGCGAATACTAAAGCTGAAATTCCTGAGTCACTGGTCGCTTATCAAGTGCTAGAAGCAGAGACGCTGGACAGGAGAGAAGTGAGAAAAGTGACGGCCCAAGAGCTCATAGGATGCTGAGGACTGAAGTTCTTGTTCCGAAGCAAATGCAGAGATCATTGCAGACGGTAACTTACCCCTGCTTTTCGGTAGCCCTTCCTCTCTAGGAATTCTTGAAATGCTCACAACCCGTAGAACATGGAGACCTATGCCTCCTAACAGAATCTCCAAAGCAGATTAACAGCAATGCTCCAAAATGTGTCTTGTATTTTTTTAAAGCTTTCATTGGAAACAAACAAAGCAACAGTACAATAAAGGGGCAAGGAAACAGTTTCTCAAAGTCTCAGGGACGCTACCAATTCTGTTTCTAATTAATTCAAGATTTTAGTTTGTTCCTGCAATCATTTCTGATGTGGCATTCGTCTGGAAGTTGGTGTTCTGTGAACACTGAGGCTTCATTGCACCATTGTTTATTCAGGAAAGGTGATAGCAGTTGCTGGACCATATTTTGAAAAGCTACATGTGACTTTGCAGAATTCCCAGCCAGCTGACCGGCCTAAGATCAGGAGCCTCAACCCTGCCACCTTTTCACGTTTCAGAAAGCAAAACAGTAGGGTGGATATTTGCTATTACAATTCTGCAAACAACTCCACAGCCACAGCTGTTATGAGGAAGTCCTGGCCCACGTGCACTCTCTCGAATGAACTTTCTGAATTTTATTCTGTAAGCTGTGCCATCTAGTGTGGTGACAGGGAATCTCGGCTGTAGCTTAAAAGCGAGTGGGAAATGCCCTGCTGAATCAGACCCGTGGTGCATCTGTCTCACCATTCTGGCACTGACGGTGGCTGTAGCGGATGCTATTTAGGGAGCATTTTTGAGCCTGGGTGGTGTCTGATCCCGTGGTATCCAGACCTGCTGTATTAGGGATGTCGGAGAGTACTGCTCTTAAACAGGCCTTGTGTATGTACAGTACTTCTTCCAGTTTTACTTTTATAATAGAACAAAATGGAAACATGAACAATTACAAAAGAAATATAAGTTAAGGAGCCCTGTTGATCCCTGCGGCAGTACTATCCAGCCATCTGGAAGTTCCACAGCCAACTTGAGAATGAGAGTTTGGCAGGGGAAGCTTTATGGAGGTATGCAGAGAGCTCTTCCTGAGGATAAGGAAACCATGTGTGAAAAAAAAACCAGTGGTGCTTTTGTGAAGCTCTGTTTAGGAAGAAAAGGACAACAGGTCACGGGTGATGTTGGAAGCAGGTAGCAGCTCTCTGATAATAAGAGCTGTCGGTGTTTGCTCATTGCTGGGCCTTGCACTGTGGATTCTCACTGTCACGCAGTTCAAAACCAAGCAGTCGTTGTCACCGGTCGGGTGAATAGTAAGAGACATGATGCCTCTCGCTGCAAGTGGTGCCAGGCATGTTCCCATGACCTGCGTGCCCTGTAGTCATTAACTCGCTGAGCTCAGTGTCAGCGGTACATAGTGCTTATGGTGCCTTCTTAACGGGTGGTGTCGTAAAACGGTGAACGCTATTGCCTGTTTCTTTCAGATCCATTAAAGGTTCACCCACATTTTGCTTTTTCCGTGTTCTAGGGTCAAAGTACCAGCCACCATATCTACTCTTAACAACTGTGGGCTGGTGTGATTACTGGAAAACA